CTTCATACATCAAAGACGATAGGAATATCCTGAATATATATATATATATATATATATATATATATATATATATATATATATATATATATATATATATATACTTGTGTATTTAGGCAGTAATCCTTCTTTCATGCACATTTCATTGTATACGACAGATTTGATTTATTTTTTCTACAATTTCTCGTGATCTAAGATTTTTTTTTTTTTCTTTTCGGTTGATGAATTATATAAAAGCTGTATAAATGTTCTTTTTATCCGAGCGCTTTCGGCTATACATTTAGCTATTTTCAAGGTGAATATATATATATATATATATATATATATATATATATATATATATATATATATATATATAGTCTTAATGTATGCTATATTTATGGGATAAAGTGCTCAATATCAGAGATAGAGCGTGTGTAAATAGAAGTGAACATTGCAGTCAACGCTCAGAGGCTGTTTCATGCAATCATCAGGCCTCATGTATTGTTCGTTTTTCTCGACTATTTATATATACGGTTCAGTGGTGCATTGTGGGTAGTCTATTCTAACGGTTATTTTAGCGGGGTGGTTTGTTAATTTGCTTATTATTTATTTAGATTAATTTATTTTACTTGTTTTTTTTTTCTCATTTATTTTTATTTAATATATTTTTATTTATTCTTTTCGGTTTTCGAAATATATCTTCGTATATATATATATATATATATATATATATATATATATATATATATATATATATATATATATATACGGGAGGCATGGAGGAATCGGAGTGCTGAGTTCGAATTCCAGTCGAATTCATTGCATTCACTTACGTGCTAATACCCTTGGGAAAGGTGTGAAACCTCTTCTTCTCCCCCCAGCTATGGGTAAATAGCAGGACAGACTGGGTTCTATAGCCTTGGATGGTAACTGGTCTAGGAGAAGGAAAACTCTGAATTCAAAACCTGCAGAGGGTCGTTTGGGGACCTTGTGGCACGTAGTGCACCAGGTCTCTGTATTCGGCCTTTCACAAAGTGTGGATGGTCCTGCACGAAACCTTCACCACTATAATCAAATCTCCTGTACTATTGTCGGGCTGTCGGTTTTCGTAGAAACTGATTTGCTTGATCTTCATACGTCGAATTCGACCGGGAGAGTCAGTATATATATATATATATATATATATATATATATATATATATATATATATATATATATATATATATATATATATATAGAGAGAGAGAGAGAGTGACAGACAGACAGACAGACACACAGATAGATAGATTGATGGCTAGATGTATATTTCTTCGGTTTTCGATATTATGTATATATATATGTGTGTGTATGTGTGTGTATTTGTGTCTGTGCGTGTGTGTGCGCGAGTGTTTGTGTACACGTACTTTAGACCTGAAATGCGTTCAGAGACACAACAATATGAAACTTCAAAGGTGGATGCGTATAAAACGCTGCATACTGTTGATATATGTCCATTTAAAGCTATTAATGCCTTCGTCATTGCCTCAACGGATTTGTCAAAATCTTTCTCAAATCATCTCTGGGGCTTACCCAAAGTGCTTACAGGGATTTATTTTGACTCAAAGTAGATATTTATATTACCAATTATCATTGGTTTTAAAAGTATACGTGTGTAGTTTGTAGTGGCCATTCGGTTTAAAATCTCAGTTAATTTCATTCATGTTGATACAAGAAATGGCTGTCATCTATTGTCTAAGAATATTATGAAGATCAGAGTAAAAGGGCTTGTGCCAAATATCACCTAATCTACTCCTTTTTCTGTGTTATGTTGTCCTCAAAGGAACGATTTAGTTACCAAAATCTAATATGTAAAATAGCTCCCTAATTTTATGATTGGCATTGCTTTTGAAAAAATGATGTCACCAACTCTCATTGTTGCAATATCTGGCCTAGAGCTGAACAGTTTTTACTTTCTAGCCTTCATAGAGTTAATAATCGATAAACTTGTTCTATTTGGGAGCGGGGATAAATTATTCTCCACTTTTCAGTCTCTTTTCCAGACGCAATGTCGCTAGCTTTTTAATATTCTACCGCTATGTCCATGTCAAATTTTCATATTCCAAACTTGACAATTTTTTCAGAACAAATAATGAATAAAGAATGTTCTCGAGTAGAAGTGCATAACCGTAAATCTTCTACTAATCCTAACAATACACAGAGCATCAATTCTGTACGGGGATTGGTCAATTATTTCGCGTGTTTGACAATTTATTGTTGTAAAATAGCCACATTATATCGCCCGCCTATAACAATAATAATAAAACAAATGGAATATTTCGGTTAGTTTTCAGGTTCATCAGCAAACAACTTTATAGGTTGGAAACTTGATAGGTACCCCACCCCTGTGCAAATTAATTGAAACAAAACGAATAATTCCATTATTATTAACTTTTTTCATATTTTTCCAATGAAACATGACCCAGTGCACACGTTAGTACTTCGTATGTCCATTCCACGAAATCTTCCTTACACATTGGCCACTGACCTTCGATTGGATTTAAATCAGGAGAGTTTCCAAGCCAGTCGATAATACTTTGCTTTGCTCACTGGTTAGGCTTGTCATTGTGTTCGTGCAGAGTTATTTTTGTACGCTTCCTTGCAGCAACATCCATGGTAGACAATGTTCGTGGGATAACTAATCGACAGTCGAGACAATAGTTTCTGGGCGTGATAAAAATCTGATGCAATCACGTATGACGCAATATTTTTCAATGCCAAACAAATTTCATCATACACCTAGAAAATAGATTCATATTACTGCACACCACTGCATCTAATCTGAGGAAAAATATAAATCGATTACACCCCGTCACTGCAGTGGAACTAAAACTGACCGCATGGTAAAAGAAAGGAAACTATAGTGGTTGTTTCAATTAATTTGCACAAGGGTGTAGGTTATACATTGTTTTCCGCTGTCCCTCTTACATTTTAATCTCTCCCGTTAGTAACAAATGTTGCAAACCCTTTTTCTTCATTATGAAACCTAGAAATTTCGACTATCTCTTCCTGATGTTAAGTATGTGTCCTTTTTTGTTTCCCCAAAACTGATTCGTTGATCACATGTTTAGATCAAGGTATTCTCAGCATCCTTCTGTAGAACCATATTTCTGTTGTCATTTCTTCATCTGTGAGGAGATTGCCCATAATGCACTGCCATATAGCAGGACTGATATTACGTAACAGTTTCTAACGATTTTTCTATTTCTTAATACATTGCTTAGATTTTGAAAAGCATCTTTCGCCATCCCAATGCGTCTTCGGATTAGAGTGGCGCACTTTCGGTTCTCTGTTAAAACACTTCTCAGATATTTAAGATGTTGCATTTATATGATTTGTAATTTACATATTGAGTTGTTCCGTTTGCTAACAACCATGTATTCTGTCTTCTTGCAGTTGATGTTTTCTTTTTGATTTATTTTCACTATCATCTGCAGGAGTTCTTGTAGTTTCCATTCTGTGTCTGGTATCAGTTCGATGTCATCAGCATATCGTATGTTGTTAAGATTGTAGTCTGTCTATAGTTCTGAAATGTGGTATTATGTACACTATTTACATTATTCGGACTATTGTCCTCATCTTTCTTGCCATATTCATCACAACGATTCGGCCTTTCAGTATCTGTCTATATTTCTGAGATGAGGTTTATGTACACTATTTACATTATTCGGACTATTGTCTTTATCTTTATTGCCATATTTATCCGATCCTTCAGTATCTGTCTATATTTATGAGATGAGGTATTATGTACACTATTTACATTATTCGGACTATTGTTCTCATCTTTGTCGCCATGTTTATCACAACGATTCGGCCTTTCAGTATCTGTCTATATTTCTGAAATGAAGTATTATGTACACTATTTACATTATTCGGACTATTGTCTTCATCTTTGTCGCCATATTTATCACAACGTTTCGGCCGTTGTACGCCACTGTGCGATGTGTCCTCAAAGAATTTAAACGTGCCACTAGGTCGGCATCTCAGGCCCACCCTTTCACTGTCCAAACGGTTAAATGTAGCCGTCTCTTCTACAATAGCTTCATGTCTCACACTTCCCATCTGTGGAACTCCCTTCCTCTTACTTCCTTCCTTGATAGCTATAATCTCCAAATCTTCAAATGTAATTTAAATCGACATCTCCAAATACCTTGATCTATTCCCCATCCTTCTATTCATCCTTTCCTCTATCACGCCTCTTTACTCTTGCTCCCAATCCTCTGTAACCCCTTGCGTGCTAGTGGCACTCCCGCCTTGTTTGGGGTGAAATGCTTAAAAAAAGACACATCCTTGTCTTACACCTGTTTCTATTTTTGTATAATTATTGAATTCATTTTCTATCCGTATGCAAGCGGTTTATTGCCAGTATGGATGGGTATTAATGGGTTAAAAACCGTGGCTAAAGACATGAAAGCAACTAACCTACGAAGGCTAATAATCATCACAAAGAGAAAAGCGCAAATTGGACAAAGATGCATATAGAAAATAATTTCACAACATAAATTTTATAGATGAATATACAGCGTGAGTCAAAATTATGTTAGCACTAGTATGAAAGGAATCATACTACTGCTTACTATCCACCAGCACGATTGATGCACAAAAACGAGCGGTCACGGGGAATTTATTCTGTTCTTCAATGTCTTTAACTTTTTTGCTATACACGTGATCCCTTATCATAGCCCATAACCAGAAATCATAGGATGTAATTGGCTCATATTTCTTTACAACTCAAACGGTGACTGAAAATGCTTACTTACAAATTCTGCAAGAGTTTGCCATTGAAAAAACACCCCGACAAATCAGACGAGCAGTGTATTTCTAACAGGATGGGGCACCGCCTCATTTTGCCCGTACTGTTCGGGCTTCTCTCGTCCTAAGTTTCCCAAATCGTTGGACAGGTTGTTGCGGACCGTTGGTATGGCCACCACAATCCTCTGATCACTTCAATACGCCATACAAAATCTGTCATGACACGACACTAGATTTGTATCACGTGACTGTTGGTACGTCACTGGATAGCAATTTCTTCTTCCAACTATTAAACTCTCTCTCTCTCTCTCTCTCTCTCTCTCTCTCTCTTTCATGTTTGATTGATTTGTTGTTTACAGTTTACCAACCTTATTCAACATCCATCATATTCATCATGCGATTAAACTATGCTACTATACCCATAACACGCATATTATATCGATTGATTGATTTTTTTTACTGTTTATCAACCCTTTTCAGGTTATTTAAATTTTAATTTGGGATTGTAAGAATATTTTGGAAATTAAAAAAATTGATTTACTAATACAAGTCCTACTAATTAAACCATAACTGGGGGGGGAGTGAGGTATTAACACGTAAGTCAATATAACGAACCCGACTGGAATTGGAACTCGGCTCTTCGATTTCTAATTCCGAATCATTATTACACCTGTCACTCATCCAAACTTACTACAACTGGTATTCCCAAGCAGTCACCCTTCTAGGTACTAACCAGGCGCGACGTTGCTCAACTTTTGTGATCATACGAGAACCGGAATTTCAACGTGATATGGCCTTAAGCCTAACTCTCTTTCATTTTATCACTTTTCTTTTTTTTACTCCTTTTGTCTTCCTTCGTTTCTGGTTTTTTTTTCTTCATTTTTCTCTCTTTTTTTCTTCATTTTTCTCTCTTTTTTTCTTCTTTTGTTTTTTATTTCTGTTTATCTCTCTTTTTTTCTCATTTCTCTCTCTTTTTACTCACTTTTCTCTCTTTTGTTTCTCTTTCTCTTACCATTTTCCTATGTTTCTTACGATTTCTATTTATCTGAGTCTCTCTATATTTCTGAGATGAGGTATTATGTACATTATTTACATTATTCGGACTATTGTCCTCATCTTTGCCGCCATATTTATCACAACGTTTCGGCCGTTGTACGCTCCGGCCTTCTTCAGGTGGTTGAAATGTCGAACTGAACCCTTTATTTCGCTCACTGGGGTAGAATGTTCTAGTTCCACTTGACATGTTTTGATCGATGTAAGCTATCAATTATCTCCTGTTAATTTTAACCCGAAAGTTCTCCACTGCCTTAACCGGGTATTGAACTCAAACTTTTTGTGTTTCTTTTCTTTATTGTTGGATCTAACCAACGCCTTTATCCACTGGGCCATGTGTGTCATGTGTTCTATTTCTCTTACTATCTTACTCTTTCTTATTTTCTTTCTCATTCTCCTTTTTTCTTGTTCTCTTTTTCTCACTTGTTTCTCTCTTTTTTGCGTCTGTTTCTATCTCTTTCTTCTGTTTTTCTCTCTATTTTTATTTGTCTTTCCTTCTTATTCTTCGCGCTCTCTTTCTCTTTCTTTTTGTCTTTCTCCTGCACTATCTCATTTTTTTTTTACTTCCTTTCTTTCTCTTTCTTGTCTTTGTCTCTATTCTTCATTATTTCTCTTTTTGTTTCTTCATTCACTCTTTATTTCAATTTCCCTCCCCTTCTTGCATTACCTAGCGCTAGTTCTCTCTCTTTATTTTCTCTCTTTCATCATATCGACTTCTCTCTTTCCTTTTCTTTCCTCCCTTTCTTTTCTTCATCTCAATCTCTCTCTCTCTCTGCTTCTCTCTCTTTCTTGCTCTTCTTCATCTCGATTTCTCTCTCCTCTGTCTTTCTCTCTTTCTCCTTTTGTCTCTCCATATTACATTTTCTTATTTTCTTCTTCGTTTATTTTTCTTTTCTTTCTTTTTTTCATTCGTCCGTTTTTCTTCTTTTCTTTTTTCTTTCGATATTTTTTCTTTTTTCTTTCTTCGTTTATTTCCTCTTTCTTTCAGTAAGGTATTTCTTTCTTATTTCTTCTTGATTTTCTTTGTTTGTTGCTCTCTTTATTCATTCCTTGTTCCAGCTCTGTTTTCTTTCTTTCTCGATTTCTTTCGTTCATTCATTGGTTTATCCTTTTCTAACTTTACTCATTCTCTTTTTCATTCCTGTCTCCTTCTTTCCTTTCTTTCTATTTTTTTTTATTTTTGTCTACATATTTCCTAAACCATCCCACAGATATAAAACGAAAAAGGGAAAAAAAAATATTGATAATTTTCTATTCTCTTTGTTTGCAAATGTATCAATTTGACACTTCTGTTTATATCTTCTCTACCTTCTTATAAGTATTTTGACTTGTCTCTTTTGTGTTGTTTTTTCTCATTCTTTTTTTTTCTTATTTTTTCGAATCTTCCTTCTTTCTTGATTGTACCGTTGTCCATTCTTCGTGCATTGAAAAGAGACATCGATCAATCCATGCACATTCTAAATCGTTTCATCAGTGCATTTCCTCAACCAGAAAGAGAAAAAGTAAAATGAAAAATAAAATAAAATAAAAAAAACAAAAAAGAAAAGAATAAAAAGCAAGAACCATATAAAGCATTTTCGCCTGTTCGCTTATCTTCCTTTTCGCGCGAACCTCAATTACTTCGCGCCACAAAAACTTTTTTGGCGCGAAACAACATTCTCTGAATGAAGTGGCAAATAAGAAATGGCGTCCGTTGGGTTACAGTTTCAACAGATCTCTTCAATTATTTGAAGCAGCTTACCACAAATAAAAAAAAAAGTAATGAAAACAGAAAACAAATATTTAAAAATAATAATAAATAAAGTCTCAGTGAATACTTTTATTGTTTACTTGGTTTTTATCCCCTGAGGTTGGAGGGCGTTACTAGAAAACTTGGAGGGGGGTGATCGACTGAAACCGTTGTGATGAAATAAGGAAGGCAGGGAATGTTGAAGACCTCCATTGTAAATTCTAAGAGGAAGATATAAAGTTCTAATTAAAATGGCGGAAAAAAGAAAAATGCTAATTCTTTTGCAGATTTAAATAAGAAGAAGGAATCGGTTAGATTCTGCGGAACAGTCCGATGTTTTTGTACTGGTTTAGAATAACGAAAACTCGAAAGCGAAATCAAAATTTTGTGGTTAACGGTAAGCTTAACTAAACCCTCGAGGAAACATAGAAACTAAAAAGAAAACAATCTTAAAAAAAAGACAATATGTGATTTTAAAAAAAAGGTCAGTTTCCTCTTCTGGGTGTACAAATTAAGATACATTATGAGACACGGGTATAACATACATGGGATCGCATACACACACGCACACAAGTGTACATGTCGATATTACTATATACCAAAATGTATCAGGCTTTGTGTGCTCTGAAACTCTTTGTACATTTACATTGGTATATATATATATATATATATATATATATATATATATATATATATATATATATATATTTATGTAAAAGGATGTTTCAACATTTGATCGAATTTTCTGTCGAAGATTGAGACGCAAAATTTTATATATATATATATTTGGTTGGATAGATGTGATGAACCTGGGTTTCACGCTTTAGCGATCGTCAGACAAACGGATTAATTTTTTCAATTTTGGGTTTATGTAGATTGCGTATTGTGTTATTGTGGAATGGGGGAAACTTCGTCGTTTTGTCATCGTACTAATGCAAACATCAATGTATGCAGACACATGTACATACTTGGTCGTCCGTCAGGACTCATACATATATAGTTATGACATAGGCAGTTTCGGATATGACATATGTATATACGGGTGGTGTTGTGTTTATACATACGCATTTGTATGTTGAAATTCAAAAATGAGATTTTCTCGTGAATGTCTCGTGAATGTATACATGTCATATTTTTATTTTCCAGTGAATAAATTTCTTCGCATGTATGTATATACGTGTGGTGGGGTTTTGTGTAAATTATGATACGTAAAAATTATTATTATTTATTTATTTATAAATTTTGAAAAAAAAAAATGGGGGGTATTTGTTATATTTAAAGCTTGTTTATTTGTTTGTTTTTTGATGACCGTGTATGTAACAGGTAGAAATTTTGTAATCCTTATTGGTTATTTTTATATAGTGACATTTAATATTTAATATGCTGGGTGAGAGGATAGTTTAATTTAATAATTATGGCGGGTCTATATGATATGATGTGATAGTAATGTATAAGGATTGGAACAATGATAATATAAGATGGCTAATAGTTATTGTAAATTGGTAGAAATGATTAGTAACGGTGGTGGGAGAATGATAAAACCATAAATGTAGTTATAGTGGTGGTAGCTTGAACTAAAAAGTGGTTGTTGGTGTTTTATTTTATTTTGTTATATGTATTAATTTATTTGGTATAAATCCTGATAATAGGTATTCTGTGTAAAATTATGGTAGTTGAAGATTGCTATAATTTTTAATTTACAAAAATATTATTGTTATTATATTAAAGCTGGTTATTTCCTTGTTTTTTTTTATGACTGTGTATGTGACTGGTAGAAATTTTCAGTTTGTAATCCTTATTGGTTATTTTATGGTGGTATTAAAATATGGGGAGAGGGGTAGTTTACGTTAATAATTATGGCAGGGATTATATATGGTAATGGTAGATATGGTGTGATAGTAATGTGTAAGGGGGTTGGTGGCAATAATAATATAAGTGGTTAATATTTATTGTAAATTGTTAGTAGTGATTAGTAATATTGGTGGGAGAATAATAAAAACCTATAAATGTAATAATTGTGGTGCTAGCTTGAACTAAAGTGGTTGTTGGTGTTTTATTTTATTTTATTTTCTATATTTATTTGTTTATTTTTATTTATTATGAATCCTGGTAATGGGTGTTTATTCTCATGGTTACGTATGGAAATTATATCTGATCTTATTGTTTTAAGGTATTAAATATGTTTTAAGGTATTAAATATACGTTAATGATTGTAGTGGATTTATATGTTAATAGTAGGTGTGACGTGTAAGCGATGGTGCTGGGTGTTGGTGGTAATGATAATATTATTAGTTAATAGTTATTGTAAAGTGCTAAAAGGGATTACTAATGGTGATGCAATGATAATAACGATAGATGCAATTATTGTGATGGTATCCTGAAATTAAATTGTGATTGTTGGGGGTTTGTCTATTTTATCCGTTTGGTATGAATTCGGATAATAGGTACTTG